ACGTCACACCTCAACCTACAACCTCCCCCCCCCCCTCAAAATTGCAGTTGAATTTTTTTTAACATCGATATTTTTCCAAAATCTTGTCTGAACTCTGTCAAAATAGAGTATTTTAATTAACTCATATTACAATTTATTAAAACAGTTTTCTAAAACGCAAAATAACGTCTGAATCCCCCCCCCTTCCCCCTCATCACACACCGTCACAAAATTACGTACCCCCCCCTCTCCCCTACGAGTATGACGTCATTTATGGACGACCCCTAAATCAAAATAAATATTTTAAAGTGACTGTAATAGATTGAAATAATTGTGAGGTCAAGGGAACTCACTCTTCTGTATTAGTTATATTTATAATATTGTTATCTTGAGTGATGTCCCTTGTGTACTTCCTCCCGTCTTTTCGTCCTCTCTGTGTGTTACCATCGTGATGTAGTTAGACCCATTAAATGTGTTATATACAACCACAGGCTTCTGTCGTCAATCTATTATAACTGGCGACGAGGATGGGATAAACATCTACTAGAAAGAGCACCTACTTACGCAAAAAAGAGGTTTGCTAGAGCTTATTAGCTAATTATTTCTAGAATTATGGCGCTGTATGGCCAAATAAAAGAATTTGATGCGAATGATGAAATCATTCAAGATTACCTAGAGAGGTTAAGCTTTTACCTAGAAGCTAACAACGTGACGATAGAAGCCAAAAAGAGAGCTATTTTGTTAACAGTCATAGGGCCTCAACAATTTAGGCTACTAAAAGACTTATGCGCACCAGCGAGTCTAAATACCAAGAGCTTTAACGAGCTGAGCAAATTGCTAACAGACCACCATGCGCCTACCCCATCAAAGTTTTTATGTAGAGCTAGATTTGACAGTAGGACTCGTCAACCAAACGAGTCGATATCAGAATATGTTGCTGCTTTACGTCATCTAAGTAGATTCTGTGAATTTGGAGAAACGCTGTCTGACAGATTATGTGAAAAGTTTGTGACAGGTGTAAACAGCCCTGATATTCAAAGAAAGTTGCTGCTCGAGTCAGATCTAACATTAGAAAAAGCAATACAACTAGCAACTTCATTCCAGCAGTCATCAGATGCGGCGAAATCTCTAGCACCTTCAGAGATCCATGCAGTAAACAGCAGGTTAGTCAATAAACATCAATCCCAACAGAGCATTCCAACTTATGCTAAACAGCCTGCTCGTTCAAATCCTAGATCTAAATCTAGTAATAATTATCAAAAATGTCATCGATGCAAAGGTCCCCATGCATCTCATCGGTGCAAGTTCAAGTTTGCAACTTGTTATAAGTGCGGTAAGCAAGGTCACATTGCTAAGGCCTGCTTTGCAAAGTCTTCGTCTGTTGCTAAATCTAGCCAGTCAAGACAGTACCGCAACCAAAGGCAGCACTATGTTAACTCTCACCAAGACTACCTAACCCAACCAATGAACCACTCTACCTGTAAAAATGCTCAAACTGATTCGCAACCGGATTTCAGCCTGTTCTCTGTTAAATCAATAAGTCATGCTCCCATCAATGTACAAGTTAATATCAACGGTAAGAGCATCAGCTTCCAACTTGACACTGGAGCATCTCTAACAGTTATAACAAAGAAAGATTTTGACGCTATCACAGGAGGATCAGTGTCTCTACAGCCGTGTCACAAGTGTCTAACAACATACACTGGTGACAATGTTCCGGTAATAGGAGAGTGTATGGTTCATGTAAGTTATAATGGTCAAAGTGTTAAACTTCCTCTTCTTGTGGTTGAAGGAAATGGACCGCCATTACTAGGTAGGAACTGGTTAAGTGATCTTAAGTTAAATTGGGAGAGTATTTGTTCATTGAACAATGGAAAAGAATCTAGTCTTACTTCACTAGATAAAGTTATATCTGAAAATAAATGTGTTTTTGGTAACTCAGGTTTACTAAATGATAGAACAGTGAAGTTAAGCATTAAAGACACAAATCCAAGATACTGCAAAGCTAGAGTTCCACCTTATGCAATAAGGAACAAAATTGAAAATGAGCTAAGTAGATTGGAATCTAATGGCATTATAAAGAAGGTAGACTATTCCGATTGGGCGACACCCATTGTGCCAGTGTTAAAGAAGGATGGTTCTATAAGAATTTGTGGAGATTACAAAGCCACACTGAATAAGCAAATAGAGCTAAATAGGTACCCTATTCCTAACATTGAGGAAATTTCTTTGAATTTGGCAGGAGGAGACAAATTCACTGAATTAGACTTTAGTCATGCTTACACTCAACTAGAACTGCATCCAGATTCAAAAGTCTATACGACAATAAACACACATAAAGGACTCTACCAATATGAAAGACTATGTTTTGGCATATCATCTAGCCCTGGAATTTTCCAAGCTGTCATGGACAGTATTTTTAAGGACATTCCAAATGTTTGTGTGTACTTTGACAATGTGTACATAACTGGTAAGAATGACACTGAACATCTTAAAACACTTGATAAAGTATTGAAAATTGTTGGCGAAAAAGGTTTAAAGATAAACAAAGATAAATGTCAATTCATGTTGACAGAAATTAGTTTTCTTGGTTATATATTGAGCAAACAAGGTATCAGACCTCAACCTGAGAAAACAAAAGCCATTAAAGAAGCACCCAAACCTGAAAATACCCAACAACTAAGAGCTTTTTTGGGCTTGATAAATTACTATGCAAAGTTCATAGGAAATCTGTCTGGTAAACTATCACCACTGTACAAGCTGCTACAGAAAAATGCAACTTGGCACTGGGGTAAACAACAAGAAGCTGCTTTTAATACAGCAAAAGAGGCTTTGTCTGCTGACACCTTACTAACTCACTATGACCCAGGGAAAAGACTTTTATTAACATGTGATGCTTCACCAGATGGTGTAGGAGCAGTCTTGTCCCACATGGATGAGAAGGGTGACAGACCCATTGCTTTTGCCAGTAGATCTTTGAACCAGGCTGAGAAAAATTATTCTCAGTTAGATAGGGAAGGCTTAGGCATCATTTTTGGTGTTAAGAAATTTCATAAGTTTCTGTTTGGTAGGAAGTTCACCATCTTTACAGATCATAAACCATTGCTAGGTTTATTTGGAGAAAACAAAACCCTACCTGAGCATGCCTCACCAAGAATTCAAAGATGGGCTATCACACTAACTGCATACAATTATGAATTGAAATACAAACCTGGATCTGAGAATAGTGCAGATAGTCTTAGCAGATTACCTTTAAAAAACCAAAGCCTGAGCTATGTACCAGAAGAAGTATTTGTTCTCTTCACTATCATGGATAACTCCAATATAAATGTGAATGATATTAAAAGAGAAACACAAAAAGATGAGTGCTTAATAAAAGTATATGAGTACTGTATGAATGGTTGGCCTGAAGAGTCTGTGAATGATGACTTAAGGCCATATTAAATAAGAAATAAAACCCTTTGTGAAGATAATATAAAAGATGGAGAAGATGCAGTCCATTATCAGTCAGAGTTGCCTAAACAAAGTACTTGTAACTTAATAAATGATTATGGTGATATGGCAATTTTAAATACATTAGTAAGAAGGAATGTGATCATCAAACAACTTTGCTAACATCATTAGCACTTTCAGAAACTAAAAGGGTAACATCAAAAGAAAGAAAAAGATTTTTGCCATTTAATACTTTCAGATGCCAATTCAAAAATAGTTCCATTAAATCATGACAAGACATTCATTGAAAGAGAATTTGGTGTTAATAAGAATGTGTATCTAAGAAATTATGGGAGAAAGGAAAAATGGATACCAGGTCAAATTGTTCAATGTACAGGACCTGTGTCTTATAAAGTTAAAAATAACTTGTGCAGATAATAAGTGTGAATCTGTCAATCCCACCAAATCTGAACAGTTCACACCAACTCAGTTGTTCCACAACCAAGTTCTGTTGATATGAGTGAACCAAGTTGTCTGGAGTCAGAAAATGTAAATTCTGGAGTTAATGATTTAAATCCTAGACCTCCTGAGATAGAGAATCCAGATGGTCAGAATCTTGAGTCACCAAATCAAAAGCCACTGAGAAGGTCAAGCAGGACAATCAAAGTCCCAAATAAGTTAGACCTATGATTTTAAAGGTCAAGAGGACTTTGACATTATTGTTTTGTATCTTGATTATGTTGTGGCATATTGTGCATTGTTTGTAAGGATGTAATCTACCATAGTGTTCATGTTACAATATAATTGGTGATTTTAGGATACTATCAATTGTTCTATTGAGAGATGTGTTATTGTGTTCTAAGGGTAAAGGGATGTAATAGATTGAAATAATTGTGAGGTCAAGGGAACTCACTCTTCTGTATTAGTTATATTTATAATATTGTTATCTTGAGTGATGTCCCTTGTGTACTTCCTCCCGTCTTTTCGTCCTCTCTGTGTGTTACCATCGTGATGTAGTTAGACCCATTAAATGTGTTATATACAACCACAGGCTTCTGTCGTCAATCTATTATAGTGACCTATCCAAAATAAGATACAGCATGCCTATAAGGTTAAATGTAAAGTGCGACTGCTGATTTCTTTAATAAGAAAACTAGATCTAGGCCAGTCATTGTTGGGGTGGGGAGGTCATTGTGAGCAGTGTTTCTTCCAGACTTTTTTTCTCCGGGGGGGCACTTGAAATTTTCGGGGGGGGCGGTAGACTTTCTTCGGGGGGGGGGGGGCGGACACTGTTAAAAGTATATATTTTCAATATAAATTATATAAATTTTATTTCGTTCGGGGGGGGGGGGGGGGGTGCCTGGAAGAAACTCTGATTGTGAGCCAGTTTTTTAAGGGATAATCGTACACGAATGATAAGAAAAATGTGTCGGTCGGTAAATGAATTCATATACCTATGGAATCGTCCATAAACAACGTCACACCGCAAAGGGGATGGAAGTGGGGGATCGGAAACTCGTGATGATGGGTGACAAGGGGGGCAGTTTAAGAAAGTATAACGACACACTTCGGTGGTTTTAAAAATAAAATGTGTTAGAAACTGAATTTTAACCGTTATATTCGCGGTTTTTAAAGCCTTCTAAAAAAATATAATAGAAAATTGATTAATATAGGCCTGCGTGCTCAATGTTGACGGAGATCAGTAAATAATTTACAATGAAATAATCGAGGGGGGTGTAAGCTTGTGTGTGACGTCATTTAAGAGGGGGTCTGGCTTTTTGTACCAATGAGTGACGAAGGGGGAGGGGAGATAAACTGTGTCAAAAAGTGTGACGTCTCACCACCGACTTGAAGTTAGTTGTCTTTTGAACAGAGTTTCTTCCAGGCATCTCTTCGGGGGGGCGAAGCCCCCCCGAAAAATTTTTACCGCCCCCCCGAACGAAATGAAATTTATATAATTTATATAGAAAATATATACTTTTAACAGTGTCCGCCCCCCCGAAGAAAGTTTACCGCCCCCCCGAAGATTTCAAGTGCCCCCCCGGAGAAAAAAGTCTGGAAGAAACACTGCTTTTGAAACAGCTATATCTTTCTAAGTTATTAACTGAGCTAAATTTTATTAGTTTACACCCAAAAATAAATATTGAACAAAATGCGAAGTAACTGTTAAAATTTAGTTTCAAAATGCAAATTCGCGGCTTTCACTTTCTTAAATACCCGCTCGCCACAAAGTCCAAACATTTTCCCCACCCTCACCGCATGTCTTATTATAAATGGAACACGACATAATAATCTAGATCAATATCCTCTAAATAGGCGCTTACTAGATCTAGTCCATGTTTTTAATAATTTTCGTCATTTCCAGGAACTATTCTGCTTTCGTTTCTTTAGGCTACCATCACTCTCCTTTGTTGTTTTGCATGCGACTTGTTATTACTGTTAGTAACTCGGCCTAACGAAGACAACACAATAACTGAATAATAAGAGTACAATGTTTTAAAAAGTTGTTGGGGAAGGGAGGACTCGGTCCTCTTTTGTTAGGACAAAATTCTGCATTTTAAAAAGCTAACGTTTTTGACAGTTATTGAGTTTTTTTTAATGTAAGTGTATTAGGTGTAAGTTTTATTATTTTTATTATTAAGTTTTAATTAATAATTAATTTAATTTAATATTTTCAATTCTCATTTTTTAAAAAGACTTTCTAAGTAAAAAAGTTTTAAAAATTCAAAAATGCGAAATAATTTAATTTAAAATTAGGGGCCTAACAAATTTGATTATAAATCTAGCTAGATCTAGTAAATAGTTAGTTAAGTAAAAGTAAAGACTCTTTTTCCTCTTTACTTATTTATTAAGTAATACTTAACTATTTACTAAAGACTCTTTACTCTTTAGTAAAGAGTAAAGTGATTTAGAAATTCTATATTGACAAGTACACCAAAAATATAATAATAATTCAGATTAATTCAATATATTTTTATATAGGCCTATGATTTATTAATAATTTTAATATATTGAATAGGCCTAATAATAATAATAATTAATGATATTGTTTGAGGGAAGGGGTGAAATGTTACAAGATCTGATCTAGTATAATAATTAGTAGATCTACTGTACTTAAATTTTCAGACCAGTAACCACATTTATTAAGTATTTTCCATAAATAACAATAACATCACACTTTTTAGGAAATTTTAAACACACACACACACAGACTGTGACATCACTCATAAAGAACCTTTAGTTTAGGGTTTGATTTCAAAATTAATTCCAAAAATGTCTGTCTTACCTTTTATAGAAAGTCTTCAAAATGGATGTTGATGAAGACGACTTTAGCACAAGCATAGATATGTTTGAAGATTTTGAAGATGATAAAAATCTGAACCTTATGGACGTAGTAGATTCTACTTGCGAGGAATTACCTATTAATGAATCCACTCAAATTTTGTTAAAAGATAAAAATGAAAAAGCCAGTGCTTCACCTGAAGACAATTCACTGAAAAAAGACAGCATTGAAACAAGTATTTACAATTATTCAGATAACTTCCAAAAGAGTCAAGTAAAGCCATCTGAAATAGTTAAAAATAACATCAGGCGAACAGTAGAACATGATGATGGTTATGTTGACCAATCAGGCAACTCACATTCATTTGAAGGCCTGCCTAGCAAACGACACAAGCCATATGAGTCAGAGTCTTATGGAACTATATCTACCATAGATACCACTATCGTGTTCCGTGGTGATGTTTGCCCTGGGAAGGGACAGTCTCAGTCTAAAGTTTTAGAATCTGCCCAACAGGACAATGTTTTACCAGTATCAACTATGCCCAGCACAACGAGTAACTCTCAGCACTCAAGGTGGACTCAACAAAGTGCAAGCAGCTCTCCAGAAAGTAATTTAAACTTAGAATCACCTCAGAGCAGTCATGACATTAAATCACCATATACTTGCCCATTCTGTGATATACCTAAACCTGATTTTGTCAGTTTAGAACATCACATAGCAACTTCTCACCCATATGCTAGTGATCAACAAAGATTGGCTGCTGACAGTCTACACAATTTTTTACCAGAGGAAACACCTTATCCATTTGTTTGCCCTTTTTGTGATATCTGCTTTGATGATGTTGTCACATTGGAGATACATCTGGCTGAATTGCACAATGATGAGATAAACAATAAAGAAAATTTAATTGCATGTCCTCTATGTGAAGCTATGTATGCATCTGAAGAAGGTATGCTTTATAGAGTAGAGATATTTACATAGTTAAATTGGTATTTTAAATAGATAATTGTTAAAAATTGTTATTGACAAATTATGTTTAAAAATAGTTGCACCAAAAAATTGTTCAAAAAACATGTTGGTCTATCTTATTGAAGAAGTGATATTTGTTTTAAAATGAAAAATAAAGAAGACAGTGTACCAGATCTGTAATAATTAGATGTTTGATGGGTAATCTGCAGTGTCTTATGTTTTCAAATTAAATGGAATTTCAAGTGAAAAATATCATAACTTTGGAATTCAATTTAAAAAATTTTAAACTGGATTTCTTTTGTCAAAACTCATCATGCTTGAGTATGGCTATTTAAAAAACTTTATTCTCTGGTGTTTGGACAAGATTAGGTCTACTCCCCATTTAAAAGTATTTCAATTTTTTAATCTGATTTTTTTTAGTTAATAGACTGCTTTCTAATAATAGTAAAAATAACTGAATATTTTTAATTATATAATAACAGAAATGAATTAAATAAACATGGACCTAATAATGTTATAATATTGTTTTTGTTTCAGATATGAAAGTTCATATCAAGTCACATGAGCATGATCGAACTTTTTATGGTGTTAGTGTCAGCGCAGCTGTATCTAATACAGGAGCAGGGAGCATGTCTGGAGCTTGTCCAGTATGCAATCAAGTTATGATGGACCCCGATCTTCTTACATCACATGTTGAAAGTCATTTTAACCCACAACACTCTCCAGGTAGTTGAACTATAAAATGCTTATTTTAAACCCATTTCCTGTTCTTAAAAATAACCCTTTTTGGATAATATATTATTTTAATAATATGTAGTTAATAATAAATGTTTTTAGACCTGTTGTTTATAGAATAGCTATTTTGATGGCAAAATTTAACCCCATCAGAGTTGGAAATAGATTGGAATGAATGGATGGATTAACTTAAGTTTATCTGTTGAACACAGATGCTAATAACATTTGTGCTGCTAGCCTGATGTTATTTTAAACTGCTGTCTGTTTTTATAAGCAAAATGTAAGTTTCCCCTGCCCCCTAATGACCCATAGGGCAGATGAAGTAATGTTCATGTTTCTTGGCCTCAGAGATGTTGTGGTCATGCCAAGCCTCTTTTACTTTCCCTATTGTGAGTCAGGTAGTTAAACCCTCAAATTGAAATCAGTGAGTAAGGACAATTTTCAGTGATAAGGGAGTTGTAAATAACATAAATAATTAAAGAAAAGACACAAAAATCTCTAAAAAGTTATGGTTTTATCTAAAATTTTACTTAAAAAATTGTATTTTTAGTATTTTGGGGGATTTAACCTCCCCTTAATTAGAGCTGGGTGGACATTGGGATGTTCTGCAGACTCAAGATTTGAACCAGAGACCTGGCCACACTCTTATCTGTTTTTATACTAACCATGAAAAAAACCAAAGTAGAAAAAAATCATTATCATATATGTATAATAATACAAGAAATTAATAAAGTTTGATGAATGGTCTTATTTCACAAAATCTATAGATTTTAATCTGTCGCCCTTATCTTCCATATTTTGCAAGAACCTTGGATGATAGCTAACCATTCGAAGCAAAAAGAAGTCATTCCAGCATCACTTCAAAGAAAACTTTCTTCTGATAAAGTAAGGCTTATAGTTACAGAAGGCCAAAAAAATTGTTTAAACCTGGCTGTTTTTTTTTGGGGGGTTTTTTTGTTACCTCTAGCTAAAACAGTAGATCATAATTTCATATATAATTTCATATATGCGATGTAAATAAAGTAACTTTTTTTTTAAACCGTTGTTGTTTAAATTCAGGAATCTGTTACCAACAAAGCTTCACCCCAAGTGAAGGATAATCACCATGGCACATTGATGAATGGCAACATTTCTAATCCACATCAACAAAGGGCCAGCACTCTAGCACAATGCAATAAAGAAACAAGAGCAAATCTTAACAGAAAAGAAACTAACATTCCATCAAACATTGCTGATAAGCAATCAACCAGTGTTGACAGTATAAAACCATCAGCTACTGATAACAGTAGTAAACCATCAGCTGGTGCTAGTACAATTAAATCTTCAAGTAGTGTTGATAGTTACAGACCATCAACCAACCCTAGCAGAATAAAACAGACAACTGTGGTTGATAATTTTAAATCATCTACAAGTGGTGGTGGCTTTAAAGTGTCCAATGGAATAAATGGCTTTAAACCTTCGGGTGGTTCTGAAAGTGTTGGCTACAGGCGCCAGTATGAACAGAATTTGGAGAAAGATGTGGCGGCTGGGAAGCTGTCTGTTGCCGACTACCACATGCGTTTGGCGAAGCTTAGTCAGACAGACATGAGGGGGATGGATGATGGCAGCACAAGGGTGCAAGGTATGTTTTGAAAAAAAAAATTTAATTACAATAGGGCAGATAAAGTAGAGTTCACCAGTTCCCTGGCATAAGAAGGGATAGCGTGGTTAGCCTATGTCCAGCCGCTTTTACTTTGAGTAACATGGGTCCATAACCCATCAGATATGAATGGACTCAGAGACGTCCTAGGGACTCAACCCCAGGATTAGAACACGAGACTCATTTCAAGTTTTAGTACATGAGTTATGTTCGTACAGAGAGATTTTTTTTTTAAACCTACATGAAGCAATACTGTCAGCTTTCACTCATGTTACTTGAAAGATGGTTGCGGCGACTAAAACCCAAATGCATTGCATTGAAGAAAATGACTAAACCAATACATTTGAAAGTCAATTTGATGACTAAGTTGAACATAGTCATGTGTAGTATATTTAAAATTGTGAAATCATTGGGTTTTGTAATGACAAATTACTCACTGATAAAAATTTCCTAAGAATAAGTGACCTTTCTCTTCCCCCCCCCCCTTCCACATTAAGTTTTTTTATCATTACTATTAGTGTAGACCATAAACTGATGTTACATACATCTTACTTGGGATGGGATGACTGTGTCACTGTGCAAGACATCTCAGTTTATTCTATATACAAAATAAATTTTGTTAACCTAAACTAAAGTAGGGATTTGCACATAAAAGTTCCTGAAGTTCATTTTGCTATTTTTAGATTTTTATAGAACTATATGCCTTTTTTGCTGCAATATTTTGTCTGTTCTGATTTATAAATATTAATAAGTACATGTTTTTGTACAGGATTATACATTGATATTAATTATCATGCAGGTTTAATTCAGAAAATTGCTGCCTTGTATCAAAACCAAGCTCGTGGTGGTCAGAATGTTTTTCTGTGCTCCCCCACTGACCATTATTCTAGTTCCTATGGCGACAGAGGATGGGGCTGTGGTTATAGAAACTTTCAAATGATTTTGTCTTGCCTGTCCAGAATTCCTATGTATGCTGGGAAGATCTTTACTGGTGAGTAAGCTAAAGCTTAATTTTTATAAATATGGTGTATATGTATGAAATAGTTTGTTTTCTCTAAATTTTTCGAGCTACATCAGGGTTTCATCTAACCTGTTGGATTCTCTCCCTCGCAAGTTGCCTTACTTTACTTGTAAATACTAGTTAGAGTAATTAGTTGTACAATTAATGTTTTCAGTATCTTTTATCTTTATGTATTATTTTTAAGAGATCATAAATGATTAATGTATGACATTTTGCTACAATATTTTTTTGCACTTATTGTATTTTATGTTTTAACTATCAAACTGTGTTTATCTTAAAGTATTATTTTAAGAGGTCATAAATGATTAATGTATGACGTTTTGCTACAATTTTTTTTTGCACTTATTATATTTTATGTTTTAACCATTAAATTGTATGTATTACAATTTGAATTTTACGAATTACTTATTGAATTTTAATGAATTAAATGGAATATTTCAGATGGTCAAATAGTGATTCCATCCACTCCTAAAATTCAGCAAATGATTGAACTTGCCTGGCAAAAGGGATTTGACCAAGAGGGCAGCAGACAGTTCAATGGAAAACTGACCAACACAAGCAAGTGGATAGGAGCCACTGAAATCATGGCCACCCTGTCATACCTTGGTGTTAAGTAAGTTAAGACAACTACTTCTTAAAAAACATTGGATCTAAGAGTAAGAATAAAGCACTTTTTAACTCAATTAGAATGTAACAAATATAAAAACTATTATAATTAAAAAAAATTTAGGGTAAAAATTGGCTGTTCTTTATATTATTTATAACGAAGGAGCCAAACAACAAGACAAACATCATGGACGAACTGAACAGATCTGCAGGCACCTCATAGTTTTTTTCCTGAGTGGGGTGTATTGGAGTTAGAGTCTAGGCCATGCCTGATCATATATGCTCCAGTCCTGCAGGACTTGTTTTTTGTTCTCTTGTCCACCTCATCAACCAGACTTCAAAGAACTACTTAGTTTCTGCTTTAGAATATGAGTATCCATGGGTTAAATGTAATATATAGTATGTAATTTATGGATGGCCCACTAATTATTTGTTTGTTTGTTTTTTAGGTGCCAACTTGCAGATTTTCATGCCCCAAGTGCTCCTAACGGGACTCATCCTCTGCTATTTGAGTGGGTGAATGACTATTTTACCAAGAATCTACATCAGCCTAAAGTCCCACTTTATCTACAACATCAAGGTTCTTTTTTTTCCTCATTTTCTCTAGACATAGAACTAAAATCATGTTAGAAATAGTTATCCTTTGTATCATGTTAAAGAAATTGGTAGGCAAAACAATTAAGAAGTTGGGGGAGGGATGAAAGCTTTACCCACTAAAGCCAACGCAAGACATTAATGTTAGTTCAGTTCCTCTACCCCACAATCAAGTACTGATCTAATCAACCATTTTTACATATCTCAGGACATAGTAGGACTATCATAGGCATAGAGAACGAACGAGGCATTACAAAACTTCTTCTTTTTGATCCTGGCACACCTAACAAGCAAATGGCAGAGTTAGCTAAAAACAACTATTTGATGTGGAAAGATATGAAGGTTTTCAGAAAAACCCTGTTAGGATTCCAGGCCAAACAGTACCAAGTTATAGCAGTCTTGGGATTATTAAATGAAACGGAGTATGAAGTAAGCAAGAAACAAAAAAATTATTATATTACCTAGAAATATTGAAATTTGTGTAGTGTTACCAATTGTTGATGTTTTTTTTTTCTATTTCAGGAAAGTAAACTACTCAAATCTGAAATAGTGTCTTGACCATCAAACAAAATTTATCAATGTATACACCCATCTGATTTTGTTAATAAAAATTTAATATACAATTGCTAACGCAAAGTTTGACAAAGGTTTTGCTTAAATATTTTTTGTATCTGTTGCTAAAAACAAACTAATTCAGTCAGCTAGAACAGACCTAAGTCTCTGGTGATAGTAGGTTATTTGTAAGGGATCATACAAAAAATAAGCATCACCATTGGGGAAAATGGTGTGGTTTTTTAAGAGAAAATCTTCTGAGTATGTATGTATCACAGATGAGACGGCATGGTCTAGCGGTAGAACACTAGACTGGTAACCTAAAAGTCTTGAGTTCAAATCTGTGTTCTGGTCAGTGGAACATCCAAGGCCACCCAGCTCTGACACGTACCTAACTTATGTTAGGGAAAGTAAAGGCGCTGGGCATAATGCTGACCAAATAATGCAGAGGTCAAGAAACATCCAAATGGATGGCTAGGTCTAGAAAATATCTTTACTACTTAATGTTTCACAGATGTTGGTTCTGCTGAATTATCAATAGTGTTAAAACCATGCAAAACAAAAAATCCATAATTTGGTCACAGCCTGGTTTAATGAATTATCAACCAGAAGTAAACAAAAAAATATTAAACAGTACCGGTATATTTACAGTAATCAAGTTTTAAAATTGTTACTTAAAATGCATTGCTTTTATACAGTTTGCGCAGTTAATTACAATTAAGCAACCGTTAAACATGTAGAAATGTTTTTTTTATTGTATGTAGAGTGTAAAATAAAAGTTGATTGCATTTAAAGGTGGAGCTCACAACATAAACATGAACAGTGTTTTTTTTTTTATCAAATCAAATAGTAAATGTAAAAACAAAAAATCTTTCTCAAATCCTTTTCCACTATATGCATGATCTTTTGTATTTTGTGGCTAAACATAAACAATTTTAAAGTCAAATGTGCAAATCATTGCATACTACAAAATGTGTAAAATTTCTATTACATTTGGCAATGTTTTCACAGAAATTTAGGAAGCATGAAATAGATTTTTTTACAATGACTACAAATAAATTGGCTGTGCATGTAGATGGGATTCCTGTATCTCTCTGACCAAGAGCACACGAGTCAACATTTTGTCCATAGTGTGAATATCTACTGATTGTGTAGAGTACCAGACAGGACTATCTGGTACACAAGAGCGCTCTGGGATTGGGTAGAATATGTCATTCCTGTTCTTAATGCTCTCAGGGCTGAAAAAAAAATTGGAATCATTTAAAATAATGATACAACAAAATACTATCACTTATATGATCATTATCTTGGTAATTACATTTTAATTTCTTTCACTATGAAATTAATCTAACTTTTAACAGCTCTTCATTATTAAAACATTCTCTACCAAAATTGCAGTTGCACAAAATTCAAGAATTCAACTTTGTTATTTATTTTCATCATGCCAAATTTCCATCCAGCAAGGGTATTATTTACAAACATAAAGCTTAAGTATTTGACCTTTCACCAGAACTGTGCAGCATTATTTAAAACACTCTACTTTTGTTTTTTAATTGATAAATTGACAGAATTATTAGCTTTTTCTGTGATTGACAACATGGTTGTCATACTGGCCCATTATGGCCGCTATTCATGAGGGGTTAGATGGTAGATTTTAGGTAGATTTTAAAATAAAATAAGTTTAATTAGATTAAGAAAAGAGTTTGATAATATGACATTCATAAAATAGAAAAGGACTGCCTTAAATCTAGGTGTAAATATTTGTTACATGAGTGGCTACACAGTACACAGCTAGTCCTGATCATCAACTTAGACTCTCGATGCCAACCACTAAACAACATAAATAGTGTTGTTATAAATTATTCTGTTATAAACGCTTACCACTTAGACAGAAAAAACTCATACAGCTTTACTGGACAGCGTAAAGGATTTTCAAAATTCTCTGTCACTTCATAAACGGGAACACCTTCTTTATTCTTCCGAGCAGCTAATCCATCTGCAAATATAAATACTTATAGTTACTGAGATCCGTGCATGATTGTATTATTATTTATTACATCATATTTTTTTAATAACTAAGAACATTACTTAACAACCAACTGCTGAAATTATTTTAAAAACAGTATAATAAATAGAAATAATTTCACTACCTTTTTTACCATTGGCTAAGCAGTAAAATCTTAAAGAGACATTTTTCCCACTGGACGCAGCCTGCCCTTTAACAGGCACCCCTTTCTTCCAATGTTTAAGTATTTGGGCAAATGATAAAGACATGTGCTCCTGCGCTGTCTTCAGAATAAAATGCTTTGTGTGAAAATATATCAGGGTGTTTAGAAGAACGAAAGGAGAATGAGCTCCAAGCTGCTTGCTTTCCCACAAATGTTCTTCCTCAATGCGACATAACATCTGCCCTGTGGGATAAAAATCAAATTTGTTAATATCCTTGTAAATTTTACCCTCTTGTTAAACTTTGAATCAGCTTAGTGTATGACATTCAATGACAGTCTACCACTTCAAATATAATGCAATTTTTTTTTCCCAACACCCTTATCATTAATACATCCACTTGCACAGTAGGAACTAGTTATGTAACATCTAGGGATTTAACAGGATGCTTTTACATGGTGCTTTTACATTCAAGAAATAGATCCATGCTGGGACTATGGAAATTCAATTTTTATCCTGGATCACGTTTGATAAGTGCATAGAAATTTCAATGTTACTCTATAGATGTTTATTTTACCAAAACTTTACCTTGGCTATTAACTTTAGGCTGTAGAGTTTTTAAGGTTTCATGTAAACTGTCTGTGAACTTCTCAAAATAAAGATCCGTAAATATGTTGTCAATGCGACCATTTTCATACAGGTATTGCTGTATTCCTGATAATGAATTGAAAATAAGAATCAAACATCTAAATTGCAAAGCAAAGCAGAAAAAAAAATTGCTTAAAAATTTGCATTTTTCAACATCTTTGTACTCAATGCTAATGTTTAAACCATGCCTTATAAAAGAAAAAAGATGTTATACCTAAACAAAGATAATAAATGCTGTCTGGTGAATACTCTTCCCCATTTGGCTTCCTGACTTCTTTAATAAACATACATAATGTAAAATTTAGTTCATCGGTTGTACATTTCAAGATATCTGTTGGGAATGTCCTCATGCGAACACTACCAGTTGCTTGTTTTGTTTTTTCAATCTGTGCGTTTTTACTGATAACCCAATGGCGCCAAGCATTCACTCCATATGTGAATTTTAAACGGTAGTTAGCATCAGGTGGGGGTTCCAACTGGAAGAAGAAAATATCATTCATACATTAAATGAAAGTGTTTTTAAAAAGAATCCACTATGATACAGTACTAACTGAATCTAATTACACCTTAAATTATGTGATTTTTAAAGACTTCCTTATCAAATTCATATTAAAGGTGACAGACTGAAAACTGGCCTAGCTAAGAAAAATCAACACCAAAGGCACTATGAGGTAAAAACTAAAAAGCGACCAAAGGGTGCCACAGAAACACATAGCACAACAAAATGAAGCAGATTTTTGGTGAAATAAAAGAGAAAGGACAGAATCTTTTACGATCTGGCCCATCACCAAGATGGACTAATGTATAATGAACTTGTTCACTTACAGACTGTGATTGTTGAGATGGTGAAGCCATTGAGTCATCTTCAGTATAAGAATGTCTTTCAATACGCTGTCGTTTTGGTCTAGAAGAAGGTGGTCTGCCTCGACCCTGCCGTTTTATTCCTCTACCTCTGGCAGTTCTAGATGGGGTGTAGTCTTCATCCAATGGGTTATCATAATTTGAAATCACATGATGTGAGCCTGGTGGATCTAAAATAACAAATTCATGATTTACAATGCATCTCTAAAGTAAAGAAATATTTTTATAAATTTAGCAGATACTTGTACTGGCTTTATTAATAATTTTATTGAGTAGTTAAGGTTGAAACCTGGTGGTTTTTTAATTATACTTTTTGTTTTTCATAACATTATTTGCCTAAAAAGGGGGAAAACGGAAATAGTAATTTTTTAGTAACCTATTTCATAAAAATGTTGAATTAATTTCACTTGTTAGATATTCTTATTTGTGGTGTGTTTATTATAGAAAAAGAACCATGATTTTAAAAAATTATGATGACCCCCATTTAGGTTGTTTTTTTTTAAATTATAGACCTAGAGAAAAATCAATTTTCTACTAGCTGATGAATAAAGTACCAAAGTTTATATGTAAAAAGTTAAGTATTTTACCAGAGCTAACAGCAACAGGTTCCACTGAACTTTCAAGATCCTCTATGGGGCCAGACATCTCTTCTGCCATTCGCAATGCCATTTGTATCATGTCTTCCTCTCCTTGTCCTTCTCTTTTTCTCATTAACACAGGATCTTCTTCTTTCTGTACTGGACGAATTTCTTCCTCCTCTGTAACACACGACGACAATTTTAAATATTGCATGTAAGTGTTAATAGACAACACAACATTAGAAACTATTTTAATACAAAAAAGTAAAGTTAGTCTACAACATATATGGTAAAACAATTTTACTTTTTAAAAGCCTGTCTACTGTACCTGGGACTCCGAAATCATCATTAGCCATTTCATTTTCAGAATCAGTATCACTGTCTCCAGGTCTTTTATCAGCAGCAACAGCCTCAGCCATCATTAGCAATTCTGCTTCAAGGGGGTCGGCAGGAATACGTTCAACTATTTCCTGAAGAGAACAAAATTTTAGAAATGTAGTTGATATCTAGAGCATTTTAACACTCAAACAGGTTTAGTATTACATCAAGTGCCAGTGAACTTACCCTTATAGCTTTAGAAATCCCATTGATAGACTTCCTGGTGGTGGGTATAAATATTGGTACTGGGATAGGAATTGGAAATGGGACAAGTTTTGGAGTTGGAGCAGTAAACATCACTGTAGGCATCGGTATGTATATGGGAACTGGTATTGGTATAATAATGGACTTTGGTGTCACCTCATCTGGAAGAATTAATGTTAGCAATGAGATTTGAAATATAATGGTGTACGAGGTACCACAATACCCTAATGAAACTTTAAGCAGAATATGAACGAACCTGTTTGTACTTCTTTAGGCTGAGAATGTGGTCTGCAGGAAGTTGCCTTAGTCTGGGTAATAGGTTTACACTGAAGTGATTTATTCTTCACTTGTTTTGAGGGCGGTGCCTGAATTAGAATCTGATGCTTGCCATCTCCACTTGGCACCATGTTGCCAGTCTAAAGAAAGTATTTCCACATTATTATTGTCAGTGAATGAAAAAAAGAAATTTTATACACTAAAATAATGTGTGAAATAAAAAACTTTCAACTGTAGGAATAGAGATAATTTCACAAGCTTAATAATAATAAAACATACTGCGGTATTGGTCTGAGCATTTACAACAACTGCTACATTGGAAGGGGACTGAATATTAACTGTCTGCTGCTTGTCACCTGAAAAGAAGTTTTAAATACAGACTTTAGAAGACTATACAATTTAATTATTTTAAAACATAAAATAGACAAAACCTTTTAGAGCTTAATTTTTGGGTTTTAAAAAAAATTGATTAACTACTGACATTTAATACAACTTCTTATATCTACTCACCTCCCTGGGGAGCTAAAGAAATTACATTTGATATAACAGGAAATGATGGGGCCTGTTGCGAAGCTGAAACTAAAAAAAAATTAAAATATTTTTAAGATGCTACCAAAATGTTTTACTCTGCCTAAATAGCATTTATTAACTAAAATTTCACAAATTTTACCTACATTTCAATTCTTGTACAAAAAATTATCTCAGAGCTTTTGATTGTTTAGAAAAAAGAACTGTCATTACATCAAACAGATAAATCAAAACAAAGCTTTTTTTGTAAATAACCTACTTGGGGGACGACCTCTTGGCCGACCTTTAGATGTAGGCTTCTGCTGCAGTGGTGGAGCTGGGGGTGCTGGCTGTGCTGGTGTAAATGGTGCAGGTTGTTTTGCGATAAACTGAGACTGAAACGTCATTACACACACATAGGAACAGAAATTGCGAACAGAGGCATCACTCATTGTAAGGTGATACTGGGCTGGAACAACCTGGAAAAACATTTTTGAACAGCTTTTTAAGAAAATTTATCCACATGTAAATAATTTCTTTTTTTTTTAATACTAAAAACATGAAAATCCTTTCTCAAAATTGAGTTTTCAAATAAATGGGTCTTTCTACTATTGTATGTCCTATGATTATAAATGTTTGTACAAATCTTATTGACCTACCTTCCGACAATGGTCACACGGGACAGCTTGATTAGATTTAGCTTGGAGATTAACACGATAGAGTGACAGGCAATTTAAGGAACAAAACATCTGGTATTTGTTCTCTACATCCAGCCTCTCTATCATATCAAAATTCAGCCTCTTTGTTGTGCACCAACCACAAGGAACCACTTTGCTATTGCTTTTCCTAAATGTAATAACACAGTGATCACTGCAGAACCGTTTCATGATCCCCTCAAATTGGACAAAATGGGCCTGGGCTTCCTCAGCAGTGCAGATAGTTCCACAGTTGTCACATTTGTTCATGTTGATTTTGTTGGTGTATTGGAATGCTGTCAAACAAAGGTCACTGCAAAGCTTGGTGGTTTTGCCTTGGTACCTGACACTGTGCTTCATGTTTCCTTGCTTCTCACAGACAGAACACGCCTCCGGGGCATGGTTCTGAGTGCTGAGGATTTCCACAACACTAACCCGCTCTTCCATCTTGTTCAAGCAAGCTTGGGAACAGAATTCTTTAAATTTACCAGCTGATCCGATCATGGCTGTGAATGCAGCAGGTATGGCGGCAATATCTCTTTGGCAAAAAGCGCAGAGTCGCAACTTTTTTTTAAACTCAGAATAACACTTCAGTTTACAAAAAGGTCTCATATCGTTTCCAATTTTTAAACAATAAGTGGCTCTCATGTCCATAGGGATATATGCGTGGCAGAAAGAACATGATGTATTCAAATTTGCTTGAAATTTCCCAAGACAGGACTCTCCACAGAAATCAAGACCTTTCCAGTTACAAAAAATATTTGTTGCGTTAACATTCATGAGCTGGCAAACTGAACATGTTTTATAAGATGGAGTTTTAGCTGTGGTTTCAGGTTCTGGGGGTGTCTGATAGGCAGTTTTTGTTGTTTTTTCCTTCTGAGGCTGCACATTTACTTCACACTTACTCTTCAGAAAGGAGCTAGGGCTTTTTCTGAACTGCTTGAAACATGCATCGTCGCACAAGTGTTTTGTATCACCATTTCGAACAATATTATACTTGCAGCGACACAGCTGAAATAAATAATGTTTATTTTAATGCATAAAACAAACTTAGATCAAGTGTATTATACAAATAATAAAACAAATTCTTACCTTTTGACAGACAATGCAAGTTTGCTGCTTTGACTTTCCCTGTTTTGTTTTTGTAGTGCTGTTTCCTTCATTAAAATAAAATGAAAGTAATAAAAAAAATTTCCAAATCTCTTTAATTGCTCTTAGCTGCATGTGGCTAATCCAACCATTTAAATTGGAAAACAAGCAGAGATTACTAATAACTAAATTAACTTTATTTAAATATTATTTTTAGATAGCTTACCTGCTGTAGAAGTACTCTGGAAAAAAGAATGTTCACAAAGATTAAATTAAAAACTAAAATTAACTGATAATCTTGGGAGAAAACTATTTTAAAATTTGGCTGAATTAATTAGGTAAGATAAATACATTTTAGAGCGATCACATTTCATGTGATTATTAAGGGAAGAAATGGTAACTTGAACATTTTCAGACAACTATGGACTATGCCGCCCCACCCCCCACTACACCGCAACCTTAAACCTTAATAACAAACACTAACCTCCGTTGATTCTGCATTGGCATGAAGCTGATGCTGCTGACCAGAAACTGAGGATATCTGAATACCCAATCCATTTTCACTTATCTTTGGTTCATTGCCCTCTTTCTTTAATGGGTAAACATCACCTTCATCATCAAGAATGACTACATCCTCTTCCCCTTTTCCAGAAACTTCCTCTCCTGTTCCTAACTCTTCCTTCATATCTGTTACAACATCTGCTTTGCCTGAAGTACCAGAAGTCTCAGCATTACTACATTCCTTTTTAATATCATGGATTTCTATAACATCATCATCGCTTTCTGTCTCTTGCGTTTTTGAAACTCCATTTTCTGTGCAGTCATTGTTAACAGAGTTATCCACATTTTCAGTGGGGGTCACGCCAGTATCTTTATTAACTTCAGCTCCTTCATTAACACTAGTTACAATGTCATGATTTCCATCTGAGAAAGAAACTGGGGCATCATCACTGTTTTCCTTAGAACCAGGAGAAAGCTGGTTTTCTGGATCTGGATTATGCACAGCTTGTTGGTCAACAGATAATTTTGATGGCGAATAAGAGTCAGCTAAAATCTGGTCACTACTTTCTGCCCCTGTTAAAACATTCTCAATTCTAATGTTCGATAAAGAAGTGTCTTCAGTGTTTTCTGTCTCATTTACAGTTTGTTCCATATCAACAGATTCACCAGACACGGAATAATTCACAACTTCTTTAGACTGTTTATTTAAAGAATCATCTAGCTCCATAGGCTCACTGTCACTGCAACCTCTTCTTTTCTCACCATCAGCTTCTGCCAAATCTGCAACAGCATTTTCTGCAATCAAATCTTGATCTTCATCAATTTTATGGCCTTCATCATCAAGTACATTTGAAGTATTTTCAATGGCACTATCTTCTACTGAAGTCACATTAGTTATCACTGGCATTTCAGTAGTTTGCATCAAATCAGCCTCACTGTTAGAAGATTCTAAATTAGTATCCTGAACACCAACAGATGCAATGGAAGTGTCAAAACCATCTTTTATGCTTTTCTCCACCTCTTGTATCTGACTCGTATCATCAGACTCTTGCTGTACTGCAGTAGTATCAGAGCAATCAGATTCTTTAAAAAAATCTTCTTTATCTGAAGAACTATGGTCATTAATGTTGGAGATACTGTTATCGAACTTTTCTACAACTTGAAATTCCTGATCATAAGCTGAGGAATCTTCATTGTTTATGGTAACTAAATCGTCACTCACCACATTTTGAATTCCGTTATTGCTAGTAACTATACTATCATCAATCTCAGCATTGTAATCTAAATCATTGTTGGTATTCTCATTATTTATTTCATTATCCCCTACAACATAATCTTCGCTAGTATCTTTTTCATTGTTTTCCACGACAGTATAATCTTCTTCAGCTCCAGTGTGTTCTGCTGACTCCACATCTGTTACATTCATTAATTCTGGATTCACGCTTATAGAGTTCTCATACAATGTATTGCTAAGCAACTGGTTTTCTGCAGAAATAGGAAGCTGGTTTAAATTGTCATCCACCTGTTCTTCAGCGAACATTGCGACCTCACTTTTACCTTCATAAGCAATGCTTGGAGACTCTTCTTGCTCATTATTCTCATTCAATGCAGGTACTGGTTCATTAGGTGCAAATATCGTTTCACTTTCTCCAGTCAAGGCATCACTTGTAACTATTTCTGGTGGAATATCACTATTTTCTATCCAATCATTTCCATTAGCATAATTAATAGATACAGCGTTTTGATTTTCTTCTGTTGTTAAAATCTCCATACCAACTTCTTCGGGGGGACTGTTGTCATTTAGAAGATCAGGGAATGATGTTTGCTGCTCTACATTATTAAAGATATCAGTTACTCTGTTTACTTCTGTCTCTACATCATTTGAATAATTCTCTTCAAAAAACTGATGATCACGGACTCTGGTATTGGATTCTGATTCAACATTTGAGTTATTTTCATTTTCCATAATAGCTTCTTCACTTTCCATGGTTGCGGCTGTTAAAGGATAAAGAAAATGTAATATTACAGGCTATCAAGACATTAAATGGTGTCTATATGGCAAATCTTATAAACTAATGCCATTGTAGCCATGATTTTTAATATATTCACATGAAACAAATTTCTCATAATCATGCCCATTCCTATGTAAAATAAGTTATTTTATAATTCTGGCTCAATTTGAGTTGATTTAATCTAAAAGCATTTTAGTGGCTAATGATGTAACAAAAATCTCATTAACCATTGAATGAAGTTTATAAACTGTGACCATTTAACTGCAAACTGTCAACAATGTTATTAAGAGCATTAATAGCTTTAATAATTTTCATATTTTAGACAAAACATTTATGGGTACCAGTGGCTTTCTAATTTCAAAAGACAAAATGATTTTACATTCTTGTTAAAAAAAAATGTTCATAAAGAGGGGGTGACCCTCCCTAAAAAACTTTCTAATATATATATATTATAAAACAGTGCAATTGGGTTCTAGAAATGTTTTATATTAATTTTTTTTTAATATTAAATAGAAAAGAAAAAAGGATTGTACACCAAATTTAACTCATACAATGTGTGTGAAATAGAGCTGAAAATTAGTACTTTATAAAGGAAACGTTTAATTTTTAAAAAGGTAATTAAACATCTAATTAAGTCACATTTTATTTCACAGTGCTTTGTCATCGAGTCTTGACTTACAGGTAATGTTTGAAACTAACTGGTCCAGTTGAAGTGGTCTTTGTTTTAAGAAATCTGAATCAGTGTAAAATACCACTTCCAGTCACCAGAAATATTGAGTCAAAATTTGAGTCAAGAGAATGAGATCTTGTACCTAAAATTTTATTTTAGAAACCGGAAATAGAGTAAGGTACCACTTCTGGACATCGGAGGTCACTCCAAATTTTTAAATATAGGACCTTAAACTTTATTATGAAATTTGATTTATCTAACTGAAACAAACTTATATTTCCACGGAAATAGAGTAAAGTACCACTTCCAGTTACCAGAAGTCGTTCAAATTTTTTTTTAAAAAACCTTTGCATACAATCTTAGGCATTTGAAACTTTGACCATCTAACATAACCAGTACTCAAGTTATATGCTATTGAGAAATCAGAAGTGGAATAAATACCACTTCCGTATACCGGAAATAACTCAAAAAAGTTTATAGAAAACTACAAATTTAATATTATACTTAGGCCTATATAAAATTTTGCCAACTTAATTAAAAATTAAAATCAACTAAAAGCAGAGCAGACATAACAAATTTACTAAATTAAGGAGGGGATTTTTATGTTTTCTCTTTTTTTTACAGAAATTTACTCTAAGATGATAAAGGACTTTTAAAAATCTCTAACTTCATGCTTTAAAAGTAGCATACATGCCAAAATAAATAATTTAAAATTCTAAAATCAGTAGGCCTATATTCTACTCTTCCTAAACAAATTTGTCTGACTTAATGCTTTTCAAAACAGCCTGAGGCACAAAATTACTTGCATCTTGAGTTTTAACCAAATTGTTTACAGATATAATTTTTAACTCCATTACTCTCCCAATTTATTTTTTCAATAACAAAGCAATTTAATGTCTTCATGAAATTACAAGCTAAGGAACCCTATTAAATCATTACCCAATCATTTTTTAACTTTGTATTGCCTCAAACTGATCGTCATTTTGTTTTTTGAAGTCTTGTATGAAAATGGTACTTAGAGCTGTCAAAGTTTTCATTCTCAACCAGGTGAGGATTCTCCATGATTTAAGCACTAACTATTAGTAACTAACCCTATACTAAGAAATAACACCAAGTCATTGACCCCATAGGTCATTTACATTCAATCAGTATAAAGGCTAAACAATAATCATAATATGATAATATGCAACATGACTTTAAGATTATTTTTTCTCCAATTTTTCTTTTTGGTGTATGCCTTCTTTTGAAGATATGGTGATGTACACTTCACTACTAATGTTAATTAATTAACATAACATTTAGGCCTATGGGTTGTGTACTTAGTACTTAGGCACAAGTGTTTGGAGTGCTTGAATTTAGATAGATAATCTAATCTATGAAATCTATAGGCCTATTTTATTTTTCCTAGCTTGAGTTATTTAAATAAAAATGAAATAGGCAATGCATGAGGGCTTTTACTCAAATTTTATTAAATAAAATGATATAGGGCAGGGCCTGGTCATTTGCCAGATTGGATTGGCTCATCATACTCAGTCATAGGGTGGGCCTAGGGCATTCCTCTGCATTACGATAGACTAGATAATAACAAAGATTAAAGTAGACACATTCCCGCCCCACCCTCACTGCTATTTCTCTGCCTGTCATTGATTTCTCCCCATCAACTCCCCCCCCCCCTTATTCGTGAAATAAGCTAGCCTCCGGATCCGAGAATGGTGTTTCCGTTACCCGACGGTAACGAATTTATTTAAAGAGAGTATAATTTAAACAGTAAACAAGAGGCGTAAATAACCAGGTGCAAGATTCGCATGTAAACAACTCATCAGTATATGAAAATTTGCACTACCTTTATTCTCAGGATTTACATATACAGGTGTATGCTTGAAATATATTATGAATGTATATAGAAATCATGCCCCATAGGCCGCCACAATGATAAATATAGGCCACGAGCCTCGTTTTCGATGAAATCAAAATTGACGCCAGCAGTATGCGACCGGCCCTTTAAGATTTTTCATATTTTCTAAAAATCATATCACAACTTTTTATTTATTTTCATACAAAAAAGATATAGTTTTATAATAGTTAATCCCTAGATTTATACAATTTATAAAAATAATGCCAATCTGTAAAGTAGTGTGTTTAAATAGACACGCTTGCATCATTTTAAAGTTTCGAATTGTAGTATTTGATAATTAATTATTTTTGACTAACAGGTTTATGCATAACAAAATAACTCATTCCTTCCAGTTTTTCAATCAATGTTTGCTTTAAAAAAACAAAATGCATAAAAAAGTTTTAAATAAATGATTTTCTTGAAATATATAGAACTACTATTTAAATAGGCCCCTAACTAAAAAGAAAAGCGTGGGTCGCTATATTTTGTATTGAATACTTTTACTAGGATTTAAGAAGCGACACACGCTTTTATTTTTAATTATTGTAATTTTTAATTATTTTTTATTTAAAGAAAAGCATTTATTTTCTCCTATTTATTGCTTTATTACATAAAAGCTTGTTATTAAAACGTTTTCTATGCAATTTTTTCATTACTTTAAAAATAATGCTTGACGAAAACAACTGCGTACTAAATGAACACAAAAATGAGCGTTATAATAGCGCGGTAAATAGTATAATTCATATAGGAAATTTTAATTAATTATTTAAAAATTAATTAAGCATCCAATAAACTCAAATTTGATATCAGAGTGCATTGCAATTGAGTTTTGACCCACGTGCGAGGTCTCAGAGAGATTTATTAAGTTTATTATATTTCAACTTGACAATGGAGTTTTGGGATCTAATCTGATGGTTGTTTCTCTAGGAACGTTTATAGTATTAATCTAGCTTTCTTCGTACTATTTTCATTTTTGTCAGTGCCTAACTCACGACAATACAGCTGATAAGGGCCCAAACTGATCGATGAACAGTTTTGCATAAAATATAGGCTAAACCAGTGGCGTAGCGAGGTCGGGTGTCACCCGGTGCGGCACTTAATGGTGTCACCCCCCCCCCCCCCCCCAGAGACGTAGCGACCCTGGGACAAACTTTCAAATTTTCGATTTGCACCCCCCCCCTCAAACTTTCGATTTGCACCCCCCCCCCCTCAAGTTTTTCTCTATATATTTTGCTATTTTTTGCCTTGGTGTCACCCCTCTAAATGGTGTCACCCGGTGCGGTCCGCACCCCCCCCCCTCGCTACGCTAAACTACGAGTATCAACCAGGCCTAACAAATGAGCATGCATAGGCTACTTACTAATGCAGTCATGTAGGCTATATATTATTATATATATTAGTCTTGGTTTTCGCTGGTTGCTTCATGTTTGGTCTACTTAGTAGGGAGTTACATTCAGTAAAAAGGAAAAGTGCGTGTGTTTGGAGCTGAATGTAATTACCTCCTTGAAAATCGCAGTACGAACCGAAGAGCTTCAAGATCTTTAGTGCACGTAGACTTGAAAACTGAGCAACAAATAAATTGCGTACAAACAAGTGTGAATATTTGATTTTTTTAATCGATAGTTCAAAGGCGTTTGCGTGGTGAGAAGGAAAATATCTTCGTTAAAATATTGAATACGTCTCAGCAAGGAGGTAATGGCTAATGGTTAAATGTGGCAAGACAATTATGTTATGCCTAACTTGATGCTAATATTTAAGATAGTGAAAGCGAACTGTTTGTTCTTGTTCATACATAGCATATGGATCTGGGGCATGTTTTTGGTTGTTTTTTTTTTTTTTTTTTTTTTTTTTTTTTTTTTTTTTTTTTTATACCCTATATGACACAAAAACCTATTCAATCTTTGTAAGTTGTGCTGCTGTGTGTATTTTCCGTAGGCCTATCTAGAAAGAATTAATTGGATTACATTTATTTATATGAAAATTATTTCCGTCGTTTTTGTGCTTGCATGTGAGATAGTGGATCTATGGGCGTATTTTCCCTATAAAAATAATAAATATGTTCAGTGAAAATCTACCCTCCCCCTCCCCCCCCCCCGAACGAAATAGAATGTATTTAGAAAACATATACTTTTACCAGTGCCCCCCCCCCCCCCCCCCCGGAGAAAAAAGTCTGGAAGAAACACTGAATATGTTTCTCTAGGCTGTAAGCTAACAATCCTATCCGTCGAGACTGAAGGAGCCTGTAAGGTAAACGTAGGCGTTTATCCTAAAACAAGCGATATGGGTCAGAGCTATAATTACCCTGGATAAGCGCATTTTTTAAAGCTTGGACCTTATTCTGGCATATAAATACAGAGGCTGCATTAGAATAAGGCTATTGGTGCGGGGCATGGGTCCGACGAACCTCGCTGAGCCGGAGTTACAAAAGCAGCAAACTAAATCGATTAATATGAACATGAACGGGTAAACACTATTTATATGCCTATACAGCTAGGCCGGAAGATACCTAACAATGGGAAAGGACAGGACAAATTCCACTGGATTCGGTTTGGATTCCGGGTTCGAGTTGTTTGGGCATTCATGAGTCCACCCAGCTCTGATGGGTACCCGATCCATGTGAAAGTGGAAGTGGCTGGGTATAGAAATTACCCACTGTAATCTATTCTTATATTCAGGTCACGGAAATAGGTTAGCTGTATACTGCACCTGCCCTATTGACCATCGGGTCTAAAAAGGTTATCTTTTCTTATAGGCCTACCCCATATATGCCTAACAAAATAACAATATTGTATATTCCTTCTTGTATTCTCTAATATACACATGATCCCTAACTAGATCAAGAAACTAAATTCTTATGTTCAGTTCAGGGGAGTACAGGTTCATAGATATAAACAATCAATGAGAAGATAATCAATTCAGGAAATGTTGATGCTATGCGGAAATGGTAATACTTTAAGGGGGTAGGCTCCGGAAAAAAACGGGGGGGGGGACTTTTTAATTAATAAGCCTTTTTCATTTATTTGTGTATGTATAAGTTAGGGTACTTAAGGGAAAATATTTGTATGTACCAGGGGTGGGTGGGGCTACGCCGACGAAGACATCAAGAAGAAAACTGTCCAACTAAAGAGAAAACAGTGTTTGGATTAATTACTGACTATAAAAGTGAACAGATTGGTGCTAATTTACAGAAAGGCAGTGGATGATGGGCTGGTCAATTCAACAAGTTGAAACTTGAACATATCGCAAAGAAATAAAGTTGTATTTTTGATAACTGAATTTTAGCTAATTTCATGATTCATCCGACGAGGGATATATATGGGCTTATATACATATTATATATATATATATATATATATATATATATATATATATATATATATATATATATCAGTAGCGTACGCAGGGGGGAGCAGGGGGAGCGGCCGCTCCCCCTCTGGCCATCCTCAGCAAAGTGGCGCCTTTTTGGAAACTTTTTAAACTCAAAGTTTTAAACTATGATATTTGTTAATAAAATATTTTTGGTCGGCACATCTATGTAAATCACAAGATTTCTTTTCATGCAGCAATCAAGCATTATTGTACTAGTCTAGTAGTGTCTACGTTTACAACACGTATTAACAGCTGCATCAGTTTGCCATTCTAAAAATAACCATTACGATGCATTGCAATGTTTAAAAAACCTCTACGGTAGTACCACTTGGCAAGAGGGGTGTTAAGTTTAAGGCAATTGTATAATGTATTTGCTGACGAATAATTAAATTAGAAACTGTTATACATAAAACTTCACACATAATTACTTTATATATACAGTTTGAATCGTGTGATTAGTATAAAATAATTACAATACAGAAACAAATACAACTGTTGTGGCACCTCTATTTAAATCTACTTATGAGCAATCGTGTGGGGAAATTTTGACAAGGTCAACAACGTAGTAGTATTCTTACAGTTTGGGCGATAGTGATTACGATTACAAATAATATGAAACAGTTACAACCCCCCCCCCCCTCCCCCATGGACCCCTCTGTAAAAAAATATTGTCATAATACCACTGCTACTTATTTAAATCTATTTCTGTAATATATATTTGTGTAATATATATGTATGTTTAAAACAGTCATCTAAAAACTGACGTTATGTTCACGCTGAGTTGGTTATCTCCCCCCCCCCCCCCCCATACACACACCTCACCACCACAATTGTGTAGAGCGACATAAATGTCACACCTAGGTATACACTGGGTTGGATAATTGAGATAAAGTGAACGGACAGTGGTGAATGAAGTTGAACCCCTCCTCCCCAACCCACCCCGAACTGATCTGTTAAGTACATGTAGAAAAACGCGTAATGATGTACCAAAGTACCATGCCGCCAGAAAATTAGCTTTTTAAACGTAAAACTCTGTGAATATTGTTTTTGCAAATACCAGTAAATAGGTGTGTGATCAATACAGTGATCTAACCCATACCTATCACTATGTTAAAAAATGATCTATAAAGAACACAAAGAAGCAGTAGTTAATTAAAAACATATGATCTGAACTAAAAAGACCAATATTTAGTTAAAAGTTAAATGTAGGCTGTTATTCCGAATATTGTCTATTATGTCGAAAAGCGTGGTTTTATACCAACTCTGATTTTAAAAAATTTCATTATGCTGTAATACTTTAGAATATGATGACGATATATTAAATTTTGATGATAGACAAAAGTATTTTGTAAACACGAATAGTCTTAAGCAATTTCACTATATTCTAAAGTAATTATTTATTTGTTTTGACATTTGTAATTAAATGTGCAGATATATACATCTTTATATTAAGAGATTGATTATTTCCCCAATTTCACTTGTCTTAAATAATTTCCTAGGAATTATTATGTAAGAAAGTTTTTTTTTTTTACAAAAATTACAAAATAGATTGTGTTACGTTCATTGTTTTTGGTTGTAGTGTATATATATATATATATATATATATATATATATATATATATATATATATATATATATATATATATATATATATATATATATATTTGTTTAGATTGATAAAATTTTGTTTTGTCGGCCTATATTGTGTGTTTTTTCTTATTTCTTCAGAGTGCTACTTTTACATCATAGCGAAGTAATGACATACAGCTAGTAATTATATATATATATATATATATATATATATATATATATATATATATATATATATATATATATATATATATATATATATATATATATATATATATATATATATATATATATATATATATATACGTATATACGTATATATAGCGTGTTAAAAATTCGGCGCCTTTTTTGCTCTTTTCGCTCCCCCTACAACGAAAACCTGGATACGCCTCTGATATATATATATATATATATATATATATATATATATATATATATATATATATATATATATATATATATATATATATATATATATATAACCTATATACATATGTTACCGGATGACATATAGATCTAGGGCCTATGACAGCATTTGGCAAAATAATGTCACTTTAAGGATTTGCTTTCTTTTGTGTATGTGCTGTTGTCTAAATGTAAATTTGATCATCCCGATGTATCGTCTTTTTATGTGCGTTAGTTAGCAGTTAAATCTCCTTAATTAAACAACGTCACACTCCTAGAGGAAAGAGAGGTTTTGATGATCTGAGCTGAGGTTCATAAAGTATGAAGACGCACTTTAGCCTTTTAAAAAGTGAAGAAGCACACCGGTTTCTGTGATCTCGGCATATATGAGGGCTATGGTGTGATCAACACTTTGCCTAGCCGCAGCTTTACTTTCTCTAATGTAAGTCTGGTATTCACCAATCAGGTCTGGTTGGGTCCAAAGGTATCATTCGGGTTCCAGTTATGTATCAGAACTCGAAATTACCGGTCGAGATGAGCAGTTGTATGTTCGATCAGAACTCGAGATTGTCTGTTGAGATTAGCAGTTGTATGCTCGATCAGAACTCGAGATTGTCTGTTGAGATTAGCAGTTGTATGCTCGATCAGAACTCGAGATTGTCGGTTGAGATTAGCAGTCGTGTACACTCCGCCACATCTGAATGCGCTGTCCAGTGAGTTTTATACTTTTTTTTTTTTTGTAAATTGCAAAACAAAAATGATTAACTCTGTGCATACCACGCTAAGTAAATATTTTAAAACGAAAAGATTTTAAAAGCCGTTTAACAAAAAATGCAACTTTTAGTAGTGGGATATTATTGGGAGGGGGGGGGGAGATAAAAACAGTTTAAACCCCTTGGATTACACGTTCTTAACCTGAGTTCGATGGAACCCCAAGAGTTATGTGAGTCAGTCACAGCGGGTTCTGCGGGGGTCAATGCACCCTACTCACATGATCTGCGTTCGGATTTTGTTTGTGGTGATGATAAAAGCGGCTTGACGAACTTACTTTTTATTTCAATACCGTTGCCCAGTATTCAGTGTGACTGTAGTCGTGGTGCGTCGTATGATTTATTTCTGAATATTGTAATATTCCGTGGTCGGACAAATATGTACAATATGGATTCTTGTGTATAACAGAACTTGATGGGACTCAGCGTCCTAACTGCACGATTTGCAATGCCAAGTTGAGCAATCAGTGTTTCTTCCAGACTTCTTTCTCCGGGGGGCACTTGAAATTTTCGGGGGGGGGGGGGGGGGGGGAGCGGTAGACTTTCTTCGGGGGGGGGGGCGGACACTGTTAAAAGTATATATTTTCTATATAAATTATATAAGATTCATTTCGTTCGGGGGGAGGGGGCGGTAGAATTTTTTCGCCCCCCCCCCGAAGAGATGCCTGGAAGAAACTCTGTGAGCAATTCTAGTCTAGCACCGGCAAAACTATGAGAAACATGTAAGCTAAGTGGAAAATATAAGAACACATCGCTCGCTGAATTCAATCCGTTAATATCTAAATTGGTGTCTGAAAGGCAATAGCAGAAGTCACACTGATTTGCAATAGACATTCATTATTATGTTTTTGTTTTTGTGTGAAAATCATAATTTAAGTTTTTTTTCTGTGAATTTAGTGATGTTGAAGCACGGTTCATTTTGTGAACTATTAAATAATAGGCCTATATTTTGAATTTTAAAAATAAAATAAAATTTTATCAGTTTTCGGTGAATTCGCACTTGAAGGTGGTGGGGGTTTGTTACCTGCAAAAAGATTAAGAACCACTGCCTTAGATACTTTGGTTTATATGTGTAAAAACAACCAAATAGATAGTGCCTACTCAAACATTTTTATATTAGCAGGGGAACAAGTGTTAAAACTTTTTTGACATCTAGATCTAGAGGGGTCACCAATCAGATAAAAACTGCAGTTGAATGAATTATTGGTAATTTCAGATAAACCTGGCTTAAACATTTACGTTAATTTATTTAAGCCATAAGATAACCAACATAGGCAACACATTATATTATAATAAAAACATTCGAAAAGTGCGATTGCTTCTAGATCACGCGAGTTTCTTTAACGCGGAATAGCATATTTATGTTAGGAAACACAACATAGGCGGAAGCAAGCCTCGTTTAAAATCACAAAGGCAAAAATTGAGTACGACGCCATTTTACTGTTAAAATTCGTGTTCGCGTAGCGTATGATAAACTTTAAAATTTAAAGAATCCCTAAAATGTCTAAAGCCGGGGTCAATATAACCCCAACAAAACAAGATAGCAATTTATTTAAGAAAGAGAACAGGACAACTAACAGCGGTAATAGCTCCAGTAAGGACGACAGAAGAACTTCAGGTGGCTTCAGTAACTCTGGTCAATCAGGCCAAGGAAATTCACAGGGACGCGGTGGTGGTCAAAATTCAAGTTCTTCAAATCAAAATAATCAGCACGACAGAGACAGATCTGGAAATAGAAATGAAAACCGTCAGTTCGATAGTAAAAATGCTCCCGAACTTGACAAATCTACAGAAAAGGACGACAAAAATGCTGGGGATGCTGCTGCTGGGGCTGTTGCCCCTGGAGAAAAAAAATTCACTGGCCGATGCAGACTTTTTGTTGGTAATTTAACTCCAGATGTTACCGAGAATGAATTCAAAAAAATGTTTGAACCATTCGGTGAAATATCTGAAGTGTATGTTAATACATCTAGAGGCTTTGGATTTATTAGACTGGTGAGTTTTTTAGTATTGACAACTAGAGACTATTATTGAAACTATTGTCCAAATTGGTTAGAGAACAAAATATGAAAATATCAAAATAGTAAAATAGTGGTCAGAGAGAAAAAATTTGTTGGGATTCTAACAACTTACTAACAGTAACAAGCATTGTTAAAATAAACTTGATCAAGATATCTAGATCTATCACAGATTAAGATATTCTATCAATATTTGATTTGTACCTGGAATTTTAATCTTAATTTCTTATTTGAAATAACCTCTGACTCACAGAGCTGCTACACTCGTACACTGGCTACAGTCACAAAACTCGCACTATCTCAGAATTTGGGTATTTTCAGTTTTCATTTTCAGGGTCAACTAAGTTATCGTCTGTCAATGAATAAAAACACTTCAACCTGTTGTAGCTAAATCTAATTTTAAAAACTAAGACTACTAAAAATCGATCACCCCGCTTTCAGTGCCAGGCCATTTTAGTTTATAATTGAAAATAAGTGTCTCGCTAAATTTCAAAATATTTTCTCACTTTATTTTAAATGACTTCCTACCTTATCTTTAACCTATTCATTTACTAACAAAACAACAAATTTAAGGCCCAGACTGAATTGTGTACTGAAATAAACCTAAGCCTAATTCAATTTTTATAGTCCTAAATTAACAACACATTTTACTTCAAATTTTGAAGGCCAAAGCATTATTATAATGTCGTGACTTTTCATATAGACCTATAGTTATTTTTCAGTATGAACTTTTTGAAGAACTTTCAATAATGAATGTTTTAAACTTTGTTTTCAGGACTATAGACACAACGCAGAAGCTGCAAAAGCTGCACTTGACGGTCACCAAAGAAAAGGGCGTATTCTTAGGGTTCGATTTGCCACGCATGGTGCTGCGTTAAAAGTAAAAAATCTCCATCCATATGTTTCTAATGAGTTGTTGGAGCAATCTTTCTCACAGTTTGGAGAGTTAGAAAGATGTGTCGTTATCGTTGATGATAGAGGCAAGCCTACTGGTGAGGGAATTGTGGAGTTTGTTAGAAAACCAGGAGCGAACTCAGCACTTCGACGTATCAATGAAGGTGTTTTTCTGATGGGAGTGTGAGTATATATTTGTCTATTTTGAAATAAATATTTAGTGAATAACATTTCATTAATAGTGAATAATATGTTCTGTTGGTTTTATAAAAATACAGTTGCTGTTTTATAAGAAATGTATGTGTATTTTAAATAAAATGAATTAATATGTATATATCCACTATTTTTAGAGATCCTAAACCTGTTGCAGTGGAACCTTTAGAACAAAAAGATGAAGAAGATGGCATGCCAGAGAAGTTTTTGACAAGAACAGATCAGTACAAGAAGTAATTCTACATTTTCATATTATCTTAGTTGTATATTTAAACCACAATAACTCTGCTGTATTGCTGTTTAATGTTGAGAGGTAAAATAATTGAATAATTATGTCTGAAAGTTATTAAACTCTAAAATGCATTTTGTTGCGGAGCTAAAGTTGACTATTTGTAAAGAACACAATGCGTGACATTGTAGCTCTGCAACATAGCTAGCATGGTGTATGCACATGTCCAGATGACCAACTTTTAAATTGCTGGCAATAAATAAAAATATCTACACCCTCTGTCAAAATTATGGTGTGGTTGAGTGCTAGATTGCCCTGAGTCCACCCAGCTCTGATGGGTACCTGACTCCCAATAGGGAAAGTAAAAACCATACCATCCCTCACTATGCAGTGGTCGAGGCACATGAACTCTACTTCATCTGGCCTATGGATCTTAGGTCTAAAAAAGAACTTTACTGTCAAAATTGGTGAAACCGTTTATTACACTAGACTTAATAAATTTCCCTCATGTAAATATAGTTAAAACTAATGGAAATTTTATTTTATTAACATAATCACACCTCCATAGCGTCTGTTTTGTTAAAGTGGAAATAACAAGTATTTCTTTTTTCAGAGAAAGAGATAAGGAACCTAGGTTTGCTCCACCAGGCACATTTGAATATGAATTTGGCATGCGCTGGAAGGCACTTGAAGACTTGGAGAGGCAGCGTATTGAACAAATTAAAAAAGATACAGAGGAAGCCAGGCTAAAATTGGAAGATGAAATGCAGAACGCATTGTATGAGTATCAGGCAGAGCAGATAAGACAAGGTTTGCTTATTATATTCTATAATAATTTTGATGTATGTTGATTATTTTGAAAATAAATGAGAATGATTAAACTAAATTTTTTTTATATCAATAGATCTCTTAAGGCAGCAAGAGGAATTGCGAAGACTTGAAGAGCTCAGGAACCAAGACAGAATGAGAAGGCAACAAGAAATGGAAATGAGGTACTGTTAAAATCCTTTTTGTTCGCCAGCCCCATTTTCCTAATTTAACAAAATTATAAAAATATTTTGTTTGAAATGGCTGCGAATAATACAGTATTTTTACAGTATATCATTTTATGTTGTATGTTATACCATAAAAATGTAATATAATTTTTAGTATGTTTTTTTTCTGTTGAATTTATTTCACTTCAAGTTTGAGTATAATCATTTGGGCTAATGGATAAGTTTGCTATGATGACATTAATTTAAGCAAGAAATGTTAATGATAAGCTTAGTGGTATTTCTGAGCAAACATTGTTGCATTATCCCTCTTACAATAAGCATATTTTGCTAAAGTTGTATTTTTACTTTGCTGAAGATGTTGCAACATAAGGGTCACCTTTTGTGTTAACTTTGTTCATAGAAATATTCATTCAGTAATGTATATTAAACAATCATGAAAACAAAGAACTACTAGATTTATCTATCTAAAGATTTAAATTTTTCACTAAACAAGCTCTTTCTTTTTAAAAGATTATAGATTTATATTTTTGTTTAATCTAAATTTGGAGTTTTCTATGCTTTATTTCTTCAATAGGAGGCAACAAGAAGAGCGTGAAAGGGCACAACAGGATGATCGACGTCGTACAGATATGATGCTGAGTATGAGGCAACAAGAATTAGCTAGAGGAAGAGGACCAATTGACCCTCCTGGTATGAGAAGCCGTGAAGAGCTAATGGTATGTATTTAAATAACTTGCATCAGTCTTAATGTTGCCTACCAGTGTAGTGTAGGCAAGCTTTTATTTTTATAATGGCTGATCAGAACAGTTTTTTTATATAAAGCTTGCTTTTTCTTTTCTAGATGGCTGATCGCTATGCTGACCGTTTATCAGAACGTATGTCTGACCGCATGGCAGACAGAATGTCAGATAGAATGGGTGACCGCATGGGTGACCGAATGGGTGACCGCATGGGTCCAGGACAGTCAGGATTTTTATGGGATGACAAACAGAGGGGAGAGGCAAGTATATTTTTTATTCGCTTTTGTCAGAGATGCAACTTGATGGTTGTTTTTAAGATTGTAAATTTTCCATTTTTGAAAATGGAAAGATACTCCCTCTTTCGTTTCCCGCTGGTTTCAGAAACTCACATTGATTTTGAAATTCTTGCCTAAGGTGACTGTTAGGACTAGACTTTCCCGCTCCACCTAGAACCCTAAACTGGGGAAATGTAATGTACCATGTTTCCGGCATGCATTGAAGTTAAAAATTACATTATCAGTTACATCTCTGTCAAAATAATTTTTGTAGCTATGAAATTCAGCTACAATCAAACTTTATTTTTATGTATAGTATAACCATACATTTTGATGAAAGGAATGTAATTTAGAATTGCATGTTAATTTCATCATTTATTTCCATTTTACTTAAACTGCACAGACTGGCATGAGAGGTGATGGGGGCAGAGGGAGGGACATGAGGGGCTCAGGGGCTCCACCTCTTCAACCCCCACCTGTGCCACCCTCAGCAATGAGTGCTATGGAACGCGGAGGGCCAGCTCAGGCTTCATCTTCTGGACAGAACTCTAAAGTACTTGCTTTTTTTTTAAAGCAGTGACAGTTAAACTTCTTTAGCTATTTAAAAAAAATTAATGTGTGTGTGTATTTTTAGTAAATAGCAATTTTTTGTTTTCAGTCTAGTCCTAAACCACTGATGGCTGCAAGTGGATTTGGTAGCTTAGGTGGTCAAAGTGGCAGTGGACCTGGTGCAAATAATCCATCTTCTGGGGATAACAGTAATCAAATGGTAAGTTATCATCTTATCATAGTTTAAAAGTGCCATTAAATCTGTCCGTCATCATTTTCTTATCATTTAGGTTATTTTATTTCTCATTGTTATGTATCTGTTTGTGTATGCATATATATATATATGTTTATACACATTCATGTATACATAGCAATATATACTAGCAAATATACATTGGAACCTCTATACGTGTCATTATTCTTTTCCTACTGGTCAGTTTCATTTTTTAAAAAGGTATAACAATACATTAGTTTCTAGAGTTCAGTGTTGCAGATAAAAAAAACATTGCTTGATCGAGCTCCTTTAAGACTAACCTAAAGAAATAAATCACATTATTTCTTAATACAGTTCATGTTGTTGTTACTTTTTATGTTTGTATTTAAGTAATGTTATGCCAATAGCACAAAGTATTTACTTCAATATTATTCCCAGTTTATCTGTTGCAAACTATCGTCCATGCTCACCCATACCCTTTATTCCCACTATCAACCCACAAATCTACCTACCCAAATACAGGTTAAGTGCTACCTGAGATGAGGATTACTCCCTGTGACTTTAGTCTTAGCATAATCTATTTTCACAATTAAACAAAAATAATAACTTATCTCCAAATCCACTAATTATACTAATTTAGGGGTAGTGTTTAAAATGTTGAACCAGGCAAATATAGAGGTTACACTGTATTTATAATGGTTGTTTCACATTTAAATTGCTAGTTTGATTTTGCTATTTCTTTATTTCAATGAGGTACTTATTTTGTTAGCTGGACACATTAATGCTGCATAATAAATTGAATTTGTTTTGCGGATAATATTCTAACCATTCTTGAAAATTCACCTTTGTATGACTGCCTCTCAGCTTAATCACAGAATATATAGCATAATATGTTCAGGTTTCAACTACTTGTCGTCAGACCTAGCCATGTTATCATTTAAAATTGATCATTATAGGTTGCCTGATATTGTTAAATGGTTTTTGCGAGTACAAGTAAAACTGTTCATGACTCTATAATAATGGCAACTAAAACTGTATTATAAATCGCTACATTTCTCAAGTAAAGTGTACTGACATTCAGCAAAATCTGTTTCTAAGGAGAGATAAAAGAAACTATTGGATTACACATAGCAGAGCTGATTAAACTATTTGGATAGAGGCTTTATTAAAAGATACTAAAATTTGTGGCTCCTATGCTTTTTTATGTTCATCCGTGGAAAGTTTGGTTTCGATTGAATGCTTAGTTGCATTTTAAAACATGTTTTTATGTACTCACATTGTATACATATATATGAAGGCTACAGTTTTTACAATTTGTGTATTATCACAGTTGTGTCCTTAGGCCAATGTTCATTTTTTCTCTACCTGTTTTACATATTTATCTGTAATTCATGAACAGTTGTGTATGTTGGGTTTTGATTTTAATGGGCTACAAATCTTAGTTAAATCTACATTCCTGAAGATGATATACACACACAGGTTTTAAAAAATGATAAGAAATGAGAGACATATAAAAAGAAGTTCAGAAAACCACTAGTTTCTGGCCTATTCTTAAAACTTTATGTAAAATGGGATTTTAATTTTAAAACCTTTTTTTGTTTTTTTCTTAGTTTTGAAAAGGTGATAAGTATATACTGTGAACTAAACTGTCAAGCTAACCCTATGCTTTACCCTTCACCCTTTTTCTTGTGCATGGCTGTTCATCATCACACCATGTGTTGTATGAGGTAGTCATTCTGAACAACAGGGCTACAGCTAAAGAGTATGAAGTTATGGGACCCATCCTGCACAACATTAAACTAAATTTGTTTCCTGTTGGCCAGACTATTACTTACAAATCAGAATGTTTCAATTTCCCTTGGTGCAGTTACATACAGATATGTAACTTAAGCAGCTGATTTCAGAATTTGTTGTCTGACTTTGAGTCTGAAATTCTCTCCTTCTTTCCCAATTAGTTGAAGAAAATCTTTTGTTTAAACTCTGAAGGGCAATCTATGGCTCCCAGGCCCAGTTTCTTTACAGATCTTTCTCTGCCTTATGCATGTGTGCTATCTTTAAACTTTGTGCTTTGTTCTTTTATGTTACTCTTACCATTAACTGTGATGTAGTATCCCAAAAATAACTGTATCATCTACAGATAAAGGCCTCAAATTATATTTTTAAAACACTTTACCATCATCCACCTTCCCCACTAAAGTCTGACAGCCTCCATACATTGAACCTGAGTTCATTCCAAATATTGTCTACACCGGGTGAACAGTAGTGCATTGGTCAGCATTTTTAAAATTGTAAACGAACATTATTTTTACAATATTTGCCTATTTTGGTCCTAAATGAATAACTTCTGTCTGTGACCTCTTGCCAAGAAACTAAACCAGGTGCTCAGAAAGATAAATAATTATGATTGATAATGTGCATTGTCACTTATTATTACAATACACATTGTCACTTATATATCTACATTGTACTTGAAGAAATCACAATTTTCTGAAATGACTCACTAAAGTACTTATATTTGTACCAAGGAATAGTTTTTTGCTGAATAATTCTGCTACATAGTTGTATTCTTGTGAATGCAGTTGGTATATTGAACACAGTTTAAGTTATGTAATGCAGCACTTAAAATTAGGTTAAGTTTTACAAAACCAGATTTTGTTTTTAACCTTACAATATGCCTCTTATCCTGTGCATATAACATAAAAATATGCACTCTTAGCATTTTTTCTATTCTCTATTTATCTATTTCAAGTTTTTTTGGTACTAAATAGTAATATTGTGCTAGTTGGTACATTGGTTTTTCACTGATTCTTTGCCTTCCTGTTAAAAGCATAAGAGCTGCAAGTCATAAAGTGGAAAAATTAACTTACTCAAAATTGTTTCTTTTATAAAGCCTCTATCAATTGACTTAAACTAATTATTACATTGCAATGTATCCAACACATTACTAACTCTGGCTGAAACTAAGATGGTTGTAAAAAACAGGTTCGGAAGATAATATATTGTATTGAGGCAATTATTTTTGTTTTAAATTTAAACTCAACTATCGCATATTATTTGCTTGTACTCTTTTTTCAAACTGTTACTTGTTGAGCAAAGCTTGCTATGATGATATAAGATAAGCTTGATATTAATGTGATGTGCTTAGTGGTATTTCTGAGCAAACTTTGCGCTACTAGATTTGCTGTTTTACAGTTACATGACTTGCTGTCTTACAGTTACATGACTTGCTGTCTTACAGTTACATGACTCACTGTCTTACAGTTACATGACTTGCTGTCTTACAGTTACATGACTTGCTGTCTTACAGTTACATGACTCGCTGTCTTACAGTTACATGACTCGCTGTCTTACAGTTACATGCCTTGCTGTCTTACAGTTACATGCCTTGCTGTCTTACAGTTACTAGGGATATACCCACTATTTTCTTCTTGGATACGTCTTACAATGCAAAATGTTACTCCTCTGAAACACATTGTTAAATTGCTGACTGAATCATTTTATTAATATCGTACTAAACTTAAAATTTGATTGTAACGTTTGTTTAATGATCAACTAATTCCTGTGCTAAATATATAGTAGATGTAAGGTTTTGTTTAAACATAAATGACAATGTCAGTAATCACATGTGGTACATGGTTTCATTAGATCTTCTAAGTGGGGCACCAAGTGACAAAAATGATACAAGTCATAATTTTGGGGACGCATAATAACTGCAGAGACAACAGTTCACCTATGAACTTGATTAGTGACATTTTGTTACCTGGAGCCATGGTATTCTGGCTTCACCCATCTCTCTCTCAAAAGATCTCCAGGAAATTTGGCCTCATTCTACTTCTCTTTCCCTGTGAATTCCACTCCTGCTTTTCTGAAAATGCGCAGTAACCAGACTAAACTGAAGATCTATATTGTTCTCCCTTTTTTGGAACATTGGAATCTGAAAGACTATCCTCATCATGAAAAAAAAACTTTGTGTACAACTTTCTGATTAATGGTTATTTAAAATTATGCCATAATAGGGCTTGTAAGTAAGTCACTAATCTTTCGTTTTCGTTCTTGCCAGTCCTGTATTTTTCAAAGCAAATGTGAATATTTTTGTTTAATTGGTAAAAAAAAAAAAATTGAAAAGTTACCTCTGCTATTAAGTTATTTAAAATCGTAGATAATGATTGACTACAAAATAGAGACTGGTTAAAGAAAAATACAGCCTACATTATCATGTGGTTTTTTTATTTTTTAAGAGCATAGTTTGTAAATTTATTTATTCTAATTTTTAGTTACAAAATTAATATATTAATATCCAAGGCCTACAAGTACTTAATTTGCTTCTTTTATTAGTAAAATGTTTATAATTGTAGTATTTTGGATACTTGTGTTATTTTAATAACTTTAAAGCGAGGCCTAGAAACAAATAGCTGCCAAGTTTTTTTGTTATCAATGGAAATAATCACATTCACAATAATTAATTTATTTAGAAAATTCATACCCCCTGGCTAACAAGATTTTAAGTTTTAAGTGTGAGAACGATACATACAAGCCCTATTGGAGAGCCATAATTTTATTATAGCCTTGCAAAATGCTCAGCAGAATTATACTCGAGACCAGAAGTAACTTTGGACACTCAACCAAATAAGAGCATACAGGTTTTGTCTCAGTTGCCAAGTTTCTGTTATAAAATTACTCTTTTTCTACCACGTCATAATTGCCAACTGCGATAGAGCTTGCCACTCTGTCTATATGCCCTCTCAGGTGACTCTTTCCGTATTTCTGCTTAAATTGTCCAAACACACCAGACTTATTTTCCTCACTGTTCATTTACATAACGAAAATATATTTATTGGCTTCTTTATTTATTGTGTTTATACACTGAAGATCGGTGTCCTTCATTTACATAACGAAAATATATTTATTGGCTTCTTTATTTATTGTGTTTATACACTGAAGATCAGTGTTCTTTCACGTGTTAGGGGGAAATCTTGGAGAGGATATCATTTTTTTCCCATTTTAAA